CAACAACAACAACATCACTATGGAAGTAGATTGCCCAACCTTCCTTTCGAGGAGTGGCTGGTGGGTTTGAACCGCCAGCCTTCTGGTTAGCAGTTAAGTGCCTTAGGCACTATGCTACCAGAGCTCCTATACATACACATACACATATGTATATATATATATACAATGATGGTGCGTTAAGTTGGATCATCAGAGGTTAAGGTGGTGGGAGGCAGGAGACTTGGGTGTAGGAGAGGGAGGAAGAGGGTCATCTATTAACATCTTATCATCTGAATCCGTCACAGCTGGCGAGTCACTATGTCTACACCTTCTTTTATGCCCACCTGCCTCAGTGTTGAAGGTCAGCTTTCATAGTCTTCTGTGGCTAATGTGGAAAGCTTGAAATTCAACACTATGCCTGACTGCTGAGCTTCACACAATTTTTCTATCACAGTTCTTTGTAGGCACTCAAAACATCCCACAAACTTGCTCTAAACCTACATCCCCTTTCAAAATTAAAGTCATACTTTTCTGCAATCATTGCAGCATTGTCAGTCATAACAAAATCTTATGCAAGTGCTTCACGTTCAGTTCCTGGACAACTTCACTTTTGGGTTGTTTGCTGTCATGTTCCGTTTCGATTTGTATCCTTTCCTCTTGCAATTGCATCATCTCTTCATCTGTCATTTCTTGGTCAATGGGATGCCAAAATCTCTTCAACATCATCTTTGTCAGTGTCCACAAACCTGTCCTTTTTAGACAAAGTCTCTGTTGCCATATTTATTGTTGTTGGTTTGAAGCATTTAAAATAATTTACTGCTTTGAGACACAATGCCATTTCTTATTGAGACTGTTAATTTATAGAGAGCATCTTCAAGGTTGGCAATTGCCATTTTTATATTGTAGTCTTTTCAGATCTTTTGCAAAGATGTTTTGGAGTTGCCCTTATGTCAGTGGCCCTTGAAATAACATGCATCACATTTTACGTATAGCTTTAATTGTGGCTATTAGTTCTTGGTCATGCAGTTGCAGCAACAACATCATAGTTGGTGGTAAGAACACAACACAAATGTTAAATATTGACAATCACAGGACACCTATTAATTTGAAGCTGTTTTGTCTTCAGTCTTTTTCAACAAAAGAACTAACATATCCTCTCATTCACTAAAAAAAAAATCACTTGGGCATTGCAGCTGCTTGAATGTAAATGAAACATAACAGGAAGTATTATCAGTGCCTTTAAGTTAAGGAGCTCTGGTAGCATAGTGCCTAAGGCACTTGACTGCTAATCAGGAGGCTGGCGGTTCAAACCCACCAGCCACTCCTCAGAAGGAAGGTTGGGCAATCC